ACAGGGAACATGCCACAGTCCTACCACAAGACACCACTGTGCCTTCTAGTTGGCCCCTTTTCAGCCTGATTAAAAGATGATGCCACATGTCAGGCAAAACCAGTCATGTGGACGGCTAAAAGGGTCTGACACACGGGGATCACAGGGAGTGAGGAGCAAAGGATCAGCCGTGTTGGGACAGAGATCAAGAACAGAGCCAACCCTACCCTCCACGTGCAGGGCTGACAGTGCCAGCTCAGAAGGCACACAATCGAAAAGCAGGAACACTCCATCTCTGCAGAAGGTGCTAAGGCAGGTGGGATCATATGAAGAAGAGATGAAGAGCTTGGCACGAGACCTGGAGGGGGGCTGGGTGAGGGGGTGACTTTGAGTGATATGAAAACCTGTCTGCCAGAAGTTGGACTAAGATCCACCAACTCATTCCACACAGCTCCCCAAACAGACACACTTCCTTTTCTTAGTAGCACAGATGCCTATATATATTTAAATAACTGCTCTAGTCAGGGGTTGTACTAGCTGTAGATTCTGAAACTGGGGGAGGGGGAAGGCACTGAAGATTCCAGTATGTAATTTTCTTTCTTTTTTTTTTTTTTTATTTTGGCTTATTAGATTATACCCTTGTTTAAGAACTAACTGTTCTTTTACTTGGTGCCCTTTTGGCAACCATCTCTACCTAGCAATACGTGGGTGTGTGCACTCCCCCAAGTTCGCTTGTACTTGCATAGCAAGTTCAGATGAAATACAGCTCAGAAATTGTACTCCCGCAGTCCAGGAGCAGGAGTATTTAGAGTAATTAATCACTAAAATGAAGAAAAGGCAATGACTGGCACTGTAGAGAAAGAGGGAAAAAATGTTAACTCAGAGCACTACTGAAACGTGCTCAAAATACACAATCTGGAGAGGAATCAGCACGTCTTCCTCAGGATTGCAAAGACAGCAGCTGAACATCACAGCAGCTTGGAGTTGTGCTGCTCACAATCAAAATTCTTCTCCAGGGTGGTGCATCCAGGAGGGTGGATTTGGCCGGTTCCTTTTTCCCCAGGGTGATTTAGCTCTCTCCACTCATACAAGAAATAGTGACAACATTTACTCCCTGAGCGTGGTTTAACCTGGAGAACAGCTTCAGGAAGGTTTTCATGGCCCTGCCCCAGACTGAAAACAGAAGCATCAGCGTGTCTGCCACACATTGCAGTAGCACCTTCCCTCCTTAGAGGGCTGTTTCAAGACACTCAAAGCTGGAAGGTGTCCATAAATCCAGCTGAAGTCATTAAGAAATATCTGAGCTTGGAAAATTAGGATTGCAGATTATTGATTGATGCCCTGGCTTTAATGACACAGGTCTAGCATTTCTACTCGGACATTGTCTAACCCTGATGAGGTATAACTGTTCCCACAGACAAATACCTCTACGGGTCAGAACAGTGTGAACACTTTTAAGCCCCTCTCATCAGAGGTTTAACTCCAAAGTTTGCTGAAGTGTTGATGACCATTAAAAAGAGCTGTGCTACTAATGACGCTGATGCTAGGGTGATAAACCCAGTGCAGAGAGCACTCAAAACCTGCAGGTTGGGGCAATACTGGGCTGAGATGCTTCAACCTTGCCTGTATTGCAGCTTTGTGAGCTATGTGAACCTCTTACGTTGTATTAGACCATATTACAGATAGCTGTGCAGTGCAAATAGCTTAGGGGCATATGGTAGTGCTTATCTCTGAAGGCTTAAAAAATAAAATACATTGCTTCAGACTATTTCAGAAAGGACAGTGCATCCTGCATCCAGATCCCCACAATCATGCAAGGCATAAAGAAAGCCCTTAGCCAAGTGTAATTACCACCAGCACCACAAGGCAAGGTCAATCAAATTGTAACTGTTCTAAACAGCACGGGCATAAGCTGTGATGTTCTATACTTACAGGTTACCCCATTCAGGTGGGATATCCTCACCTATCTTGGAAAAAAACTTAAAGGCAACCAAGGTTAACATTTCTATTCTGAGCAGCACCATACCTTAAGAACTTCGCCCTTCTCTCACTATTGACTTCTACTTTTCCCACATCTTCAAGCTTTTCATGACCACACAGCCCTGCTCCATCTTTCCCAGATTTCTCTCCTCATCACCCACTTTCCCATCTGCAATGTCATTTGTGCCAGCTGTGACTATCATTTTTTGGCTTCTTCAAAAAATATCTCTAGGCATTGTTCCTCACAGCATCTTGGATACAAAATATCTCCCTGAACTAACCCACAGGGACAGTACCTTACTTGGGATAAATTCTTCAGCTGATCGGTGATGGTGGCAACTGGGAGCAATAAGCAGAATACAACTGTTAGTATTCTCATTTCCTCTCCTCCATGCTACTACTTGTTGCACTCATTTGTGTTTTTTTTCAAAGCCACAGAAATTTTTCTTACTCCTGTGTTTTACAGGTATTCATCAAGCTCCCGTGAAAACCAACGTGAGTTGGTACCTCATGAGTCAGCAGTCAGAAAAAACAGCTTTAATGTCTATGTACAAGCATACTGTAGCTTTCATTAATACTTCACATGGTGACTTACTCCCTCAGGAGTAACAGGAGAGGAAAATCTTCCACGGGATGTTTGTGTGACCAATAGCTGAAGAGGTGGATTACCAAAGGATTCAGAGTCACCAGGCACCTGTAACCCTGTTTTATAAACTGTCCTGAAAGGCATATTTTTCTCATGTTCTTCAATGATTTCACACTCCAACCAACCTGTTTTCCAAACCCACATTTGGCAGGTATGAGCTTATTTGGTTTGGAAACCAGTCTCCTAAGTGCAAAAGCTACTTTTTGAAATGGAGCTTTAGTTCTGTGATCTTCTAGACACTTTTTTGAAATTACTCTGAATTTCAAGCTGGTACAGAGCCCAGGGCTTGAATCCAAGGACAGGACCAATCATCACGACTGGCTCTGAGTTTCAACAAGTGGCAAATCAGAAGAAAACCAACCTCAAATCCAATTGCACATATATCCGTTCTATTGTTACTGCCAAATGGCGAAGCGCACAATTCAGAACATAGTGGTTCACCTTCTTCCCAGGTGGGTCTTACAATCTGTTCTGAGCACTGCACCAGCAGCAACCCACTCAGGAGGGCTAAATCTAGCAGAGGTATGGCTGCAGTAGTTTGTGATTTTGGAGCAAATGCATTCTGGCACCTGGAAGTCTTCAGAAGAGAGCACACAGACATAAAGAACAAGATTGCACATAAGGAAGACACCCCATTGAGTTCCTCATACCAAAGGCCCCCAATCTTTTTGAAGAAACCATCAGTGATGCCTGATATGGTGTCACTGTCTCACCTCTCTCATCCCATGCTAAACTCTAGTCCCTTCCACCACTGTCTCCCTACCTTTCCCTGAAACCACTGTCTCCTTGTTGCTTTGATGCATTAAGCAAGGCCACAGCCGCCTGCCACTGCCACAGCCCTGATGTTGAAGAATTCTCACAGCTCAAGCTCAGCTGAAATGAGAGATGGGTGAAAAAGAGGTGGGACTACATGTGCAGCAGAATAAGGGCTTCCTCCCTGCCACAACCCTGCTACTGTTGTTGTCATGGCCACCAAGCAAACTGCAACAGCTGGCCCCTGAATCCAGTTCATGTTGCACTGGGACCAAAGGAGAACCAGCAGCCAAAGCTGCATCACCTCCATGTCCTGAGTGCTGTGTCCAGAGTAGCCCCCAGACACCTGGAGGATACAAGTGCAAGCCTTGTGACTGTGCTCACCTCCAGTCCTCCCAAACACATGCTTAGTCCCTCTTACATCAACCATTATTACCTCATCCTCCCCAAAGGGAAAGTTCTCAACAAAGTTTCCCAAATGAATGCCTTACAGCCTCAGTGAACTGGTATCTTCTAACAAAATTTTTTCACCCCCAGACCTCCAACAGCTCTGAAAAGGAGCTTTACTGATTTCAAAATACCTGCACCATTTTCCGACTGGATATATGGCACAGGTTGATGTTGGTACATATGCTCCATCATTTTTCCCCTTGCTAGAACATGTATTTGAGATTGGTAAGTGAACTCAGTCATCAGTCCATTCTCCCCAGCCCCTGCCTCATTTCTTCTGCTTATTTTAGTCCTCTTCTTTAGTAAAACATAGGAAGAGAGTGGAAATTTTCCACTACCCCAGTGTCTGGTCCTGAGCTTGAAGTTTTCACAGTGACATGAAGATTGGAGGATGCTTTGCAGCTGAACAGAGGTCTCTGATCCAGCAAAGGTCGGTCTTTCATTAGATCAGCCCACGGGTGAAATGAAAGTGTGGTGACATTAGTGAACACCCTACTAGAAGCAAAGACTGCAGACCCACAGATGAGTCACAAAATTTGTCTGTTCCAGTGCTCTAATTACATTGCTCATCCAAGAAAAGCCTCTTTTGGAGCCATTAGGTCAGAATCTGTTCTCCCCTAGCTGTAAATCCCTCATAACTCGGTGAAGTCAATCGATTTGTATTGGTGTAAGCAAAATCAAGCACAGTGTACTCGCACAGCCTTTGATCTCTCTGCCTCCCTCTGAGCACAAGCTCACAGAATGCTATTAAAGAGACAAGAAACCCAGGCCCCTGGGTCTCGTGCCTGCTCCAGGCACTCTGAGCAGCGAGATCAACATCAAGCACTGCAGTTGGGAGGTGAAGTAAAAGGCAGAGGAGAGACAAGAGCCTTCTGTCTCCCCTTCAGGATGAAAGGCTGTGGACCTCCCTGAGGGCTTCCCAGAGGGACATGTGTAAAAGAGTCAGAGCACATCACATTAATAGGTTACATACAAAAGAAAATAAATTATCTATCCATCTATCTATCAATCAGTCTACACTTCACTGACACATTCTACTATCTTTCTATTAGAAAAGCAAACACAGAGAGGCACAGCTCCTGTGGCCCTCCAGGAGACTCAGTGAGCATGCACAGCTTTTCTGATATATGGAACTGAAACACTAGAAGACCAAAGACCATCAAAACCAAACATTTCTCTTTCAGGAAATCACCTCAATGCAGGATTCCAAGCAATGGTCCATTTTGTCCTAACAGGTGTTTTCAGCTTCTTCCTCTTCTTCCAAGTCTCTACCAATGTGCTGTGCAGGAAAACTTGCCAGTCTCTCCTTGGCAAAGAGCTCTGCACTGTGAATGGAAGCAGAAGTCATCATCCAAAAGACACAGGATGTTCCCCCAATATTAAGTGTATTAGGCAAGTAATCAAAGAATGGCCCTGGATCACAGGAGCATTTATTTCCTCCTATTAAATCTAACACAACTTCCATTGAGATAGGTGATGACGTGGTCTTCTGGTTAAGAAGAGCATCAACCACCTGCTTAGTCTGCAGCCCTGATTCTTGCTTCCTGGATAAATAGGGACATCAAGTTCTGAAAGGAACAGGAGAAGAAGGAATTCCTTCAGCAGCCAAGAGCAGCTTGGCTTGAAGAAATTCAATAGAGAAGCCCACAAGAATAGCTTGAATATTACTGATTGTGTTGGAAGATATGAAGAGTAATGGAAGGCCATGACAGGAAGGCTGGAAAGCATAAGGACATTCCTCTGTCTCGGATTGCCTCCAAGCAGAAGAGTGGCTAAGGAATACAAAGATTTTGGAATGCAGAAAGCTGAAAGGTTGTCCACTCTTGGACATCCTGAACCCAATGTTAGTTCTCACAAAGTCATTTGTTAAATGCGGATGACTCAGGAAAAAAGAGCTTTTGAGGAGTTGTTTCTAATAATGTTGTAACACCTATGAATATATATCCATTTTGGACATGTATTTACATTTCTTTCATTCAGGTAATGCTCTTGAGGAGGGGTTCAAACGTAAAACCTCTTCTGTTATTTTACACAAATCTCTGCCAGGCCTTCTACCCCAGGCCTTGCATTTAATACACCATCTCCAGGTTCTGAAATTAGGTCCCCGGGTTCTACATTTTCCACAGCACTGAAATGTGCACAGTATGATGCAGACAAAGACAGAGATATCTGTAATGGCTAATATGGAACTGTATTGATTTTGTTAGTTATATGATGTTTGTTTACTTTTTTAAGCCCTGTTTGAGAACATTTTCTGTTCCTTTCGGGCTACTGACACATTTTCCATTTGCTACAGGAGCTAATATCAATGCTACACCGTGCATGTGTAAATTTGTTGGGTGAGTAGGAGGGGATGCTTCCTTCAAAATATGGGCTCTTCAGACCAGATTCTGCACACATTCATCTCAGTTTAAAGTCAACAAATACACTAAAACAATCAAGTTCCACAAGATTTACAGAAAACAACTGTGATTAGAATCTGTTCCAGTCTGTCAGGATCCACCATTTTTGTCTGTTGGGAAAGCTGTAGGTGTTCTCTCCCACTCCCTGTTGTTGGAAGGAGATGGGAACACAATACCACATGGGAATAAAAAAGCAGCTTTATGGTGAACTGATATATGAACAGGAATTAACAGGATGGTGGAAAGGGGATGAATCAGCCAGTCCCAGGGAAGACAAAGAAATTTTTCAGACACTACCCTGGATCTCACCCACTCAGACAGAGCATCTTTTTTTGGCCCCTGTGATACATCACTTTTTCCTCTCATAAAAACCTAGTATTGCAGTATCAAGGAAACCCATAAAAATGGCCCTGCTAGGAGAAAATCAACTGATCCTACACTCAACCAGTGGTGCATAGTCATTCCATGGGCACCAAGTCAGCCCAAGGCATCCAGAATTGCTTTTGTGTAAATGAAGTTCAGACCAACACTGAAGGATAGAAAACATGGAACTCAACCAAAGTCTGGGCATCTGCACTTCCAGAATTAGGGAAGCGTTCATTCAAGCTATGGAACATGAAGAAATACATGGTCATGATACCTTAGGTTATTTCAACAGCATGTATCTATCTCACTGTTATTGTAAAAGACCCAGACTTGAAGGCCATGCAGGGGGAAGCAGGTCTTGAAATGCCAACATGGAGGCTGTACAAAGGCTTAGAGGGCTCTTCTGGAAAAAAAACATGCATTTGGGCTTAAATCTGTGTGGTAAATTATCTGTTCTCCCCCTGGTGCAGGCAAGTAATTCCTCTCACTTTAATGGACAATTTTATGGCTGCTAATAACATTTGTAGCTTAGATAATGACAAGGATAATCAAATCTCATGCTTGAGGGCATAAACTGATTGCTGCAGGGGTTAGCAACAAAATCACCATTGCCATATATTGCACAGGTGTATTATGGGATAGATTTCCTTCCTCCAAAGTAGAAAGGCATTGGTGTCTGCCAAGATAACAGATTGGGTGATTGTCTGTGTTATGGAAATTGCTGGTTTGTATGCATGGGATTTAGGGAAAGAGGAGAAACCTCTTTGTTTCTGCATGACAGAATTTGCAAGGTGCATATCAATGTCTGGTCTAGCACAACAACTCTCTTAAAGTCAAGTTCAGCCTTGACCATAACAAAGTCCACTGTCAGACAGCAAATGCTGCTGTACATTTAGTTCAGTACTCAGAAACATCCACAGAGTACATAATCCCAGAGGGTGAGGGCTGGGAGAAAACCTCAATAAACCATTTGACTTGTTTCAGGACGCTTAGCTCCTCAAGGGTTACTGAACTCCCCAGTCAGTTCCTGTATCACATCTCTCAGACACCCATTCCTAGGAACACATGGCTTGGAGGAACCTCAGCAGATAACCCAGTCCATTCAGGTCTGAGGCAGGCTGAAGTACACCAAGCCCATGTGTGTTGGACAATGGTTTAATCTGTTCAGACAAATATCCCATTACTGGTACTTCGTAGGTTCCCTATAGAACATGTTACAGCTGTTTTCACAGCTGATGTTGAACATACATCGCTGGTGCTGAAGTGTAAATTTGCATATTTATGTAGAAATGTTCTCTTTACAACCACCTTCCACATATTTGAAGCTGTTATTATTCTCCTCTTTATGTATCTCTTTTCCAAACTAAACAATTCCTGTCCACACTGAATACTGGTCAAGCTTTCTAGTAACATTTTGATTTTTCTCATCCTTTCTCAAAACATGTGTGCCCAAAACTGGATCCAGTTTCCAAGATGAAGCCTTCCCACTTTATCAGCATGGTGTTGCACTACTTGCAAGTAGTCAGTTCATATCATCTTCCTATATGTGTGTTTGATATTTTCTTTTTCAGTGTAAAACTGTGCACTTGACTTTATTGAATGTTGCCATATTGATTTCAGACCATTTCTCCAATTTATCAAAATAATTTTGTATTCTGGTCCTGCCCTTGAAGTGCTAGCCATCCCTCTTATAATTAATATGTGTACTCTCTGTTCTATCTGACAAGCCATTAACGGCAAAATTGAAAATATCAACCACAAGACAGGCCCTTGTATGACTGTACATGTTATGTCCATCCAATCTGACAGAAAAGTAGGGATAACTACTTCTACATTTTTTTATCCTATTGTGAAATTATCTGGTGGCAGATTTAGCAGGGGGACGCTGGGTTTGTATCTTCTGCCCCATTTACCTGCACAGTGTATGTGCTTTTCACACACGTGATAAGTCCAGCCACAGTCCAGCCCCTAGTCCACAGCATGTGTCCATCCAGACTTTGTACCCACCTGTGGCAACCCAATCCAGTCTAGGTTTTTTTACTGTAATTATGCGAACTCAATGCTATTATCATGCCATGCATGCAATAAACATCAGGACCTACTGCTCCCCCACTATCAGTTATTTATTGTGAAAAAAAAAACCAACTCAGAAATGTCCAACATGAGTCACTCAAGAAAAATCTGGGTTTGTTCCAGCTTGTCCCTCATTATCCCCTAGGTACTTTCATGCTGATTAACTGCTTGGTCAAATATCTTTCTGAAGATCAAATTTAGGCTGACTGAGCATTAACTCCCCATGTTCTCTCCTGTCCCTCTTTTAAAGATAGGCAGCATGTTTGTTTTTCCCTGGGACAGCCACTGGTAGAGCTGTTCAAACAGCAGCCATAAAAAAACTGGTGACACTGCTAACAGCAAGCAGTTGCTGCTAGAGAAGAGGTTTGATTCTTATCCAGATATTCAGCTGGAGACAAAATTGTAGGATGCACTGATAATCCCTCAGAGAAGCAGGAACCTTCAGAAAAAAAAGGACAAGATAAACTTACATAGATCCCAAGCAAGATCCAAGACAAACTTCAAACAGCCTCTGGGTGTATGGAACCATTAAAACTAAGGGAGGAGGAGGATAGTCCATACCTTGCCTCAAGGCAGTACATATGCCTAGGTCACTCTTGACAGATGCTTGTCCATCCTGTTCTGCAAGACCTGGCAAAGAAGAGTCCATGCCCTCCCCAGGCAATGTATTTCAGTGTTTCACTAGTATCATTGCTAGAAAGATTTATTTTTTTTTCTCTGTGGCCACTCTAACACTTCCTTGCTGTTGTTTAACACCTTTCCTTACTCAGTGTACCACACTTGAGTTCTTCAGGAGCAGACCTGAACAGGAACAGTCAGGTTTTGATCAGATTTTAAAGGGTCCACAGACTGGATTCTTTTCAAAGAGAGCATGGAAATATTTTTTAACTCCTTACCACCCAACCTGCAGTCAGGTTCCAGCAAGTCACCCAAATTAGAACCACACATGCTCAAGAGCCAGCAAGTTCCGTTGTGACACCTGTTGCTGGATATACTCGGAGCCAAGCTTGCATCCCATGCCTTTACCTCTTCAATACCACCAGCCTTTACTGTGGTCCATCTTGAGAAAAGAAAAGCTTCCTGAAACATTTAAAAAGAAATCTATGTCATACCAAAATGCCAGTGGCTGATGTACCTACATCATAAGGACACTGACTTCAAACATCATACAGCAACAGTAATGGAGACTTTGTGAAAAAATATCTTTGGTGCCAGTCCAATAAGTCAAACCAGACCTGAATGCAACCCATACAGCATAAACTATCACAAGCACAGAAGTGGTATGAGGGCTTCTGAATGAAAATATAATTGGGGGGAATATTTGGGAAAAAAACAGAAGTTAAGCCACTCTGAATCACACCTAGTGCTTTTCACTCATTAAAATAAACCTCTTGGATGTGCAGTACATTCATTAACTGACTTG